GCAAAAAACAGTAGAAAACTGTATAATAAAACACAAAGATCTTGATAGCTGTAGAACATTGTAATAAGAGTTAATTATAAAGCAAGTGAGTGGCTTCTTGGTAAGACTGAACAGACAAGATAGTCTTGGATAGTTAATAAGGTTAAGAATAATACAAGGCTGTTAAAGAGCAGGTTTAACAAAAGATATATAGAAGACAGAGAAGCAGTCAGAAATTGAAACATATTTAAAGAACAACTTAGCATGCCTTACAATACTTAAAGCAAGAAAACTAAAAATAAATATTAGAACAGATAGTGAACTATAAACAATGGTTAAGTATGATACTAAAATACAAGAACTGGTAAATACACAATTGTAAAAAAAAGGAGTAGTCAAAGTAAATAAAGCTGGTCTAATATATTTGAACCAACTACTTGATACAAGAAGAGAAAAACTAATCATATAATAGCAACTTAAAAGCTATCAAGATTAATCAAATAAGAAAAAAAAAGCAGAATGGTTCAAAGCAATTGAATCAAAAATACTTAGCAGTCCAGAGAGTAGAGTAATATAAAGATATTTTAGAACAGATAAACAAAATACTTAGGCAATGCAAGTTGAATAGGAGCATATATTAGAAGATATAAGAAGAAAAAAATAGATAGTATATGATATATAAGACTATAGATAGCTTGAAAAAATAGTCAAAAAGGAAAAAAAAAAGTATTAATTGAATAATGACAAATTAAGTGCAAAGAGAACAAAGTAGCAACTGAAATCAACAGATGTGAAAAGTATATAATTAAAGAAGAACAAATAGAAAACAGTTGCCAACAATAGATAAGACTAAATAAAAACATTTATATAATTTTAGATAAATTAATAAGTAAAGGTAACAACCAAATTAAGATAGCAGTAGATCAAATAATAGACAAGACAGAAATAGACAGATCAAAAATAAATAAATGCAAATTAAGAAATCTTCTAATGATAGAAGAACTAAAGATAGAAATTATTAAATGACAAAAACTGGAAGAAAATATTAGCCAAGAAATAACAAAAGTCCTAAAAAGAAATATTATAAAAAACAAGAATAAATATATAATATATACTAACAATGCAACCAATAGGAAAGACAGTAAAGAGCCATCATCTAAAAACAATATAAGTATTAAATAGGTCCAAACAAATGAAATACAAGAATGACTAGAAGAAGAGTTAATATTAGAACTAGAAGGATGCCAAATGTCGATAATAGCAGAGTTGGTAGCAATTTGGATAATAATTTTAACAATATCTAAAGAGAAGCAAATAGAAATATATACAGATAGTAATGCTGCAATAAGAAACATTGGTAGAAGCCTAGAACAAGCAGACAGAAACAAGATTATTAAAAAAAAGAATACAATATGCTTAATAAAGGTTAAGGATCTTGTTAAGATAAAAAACATTTAGATAGATTTAGTTAAAATTAAAAGTTATAATAAAACAAGTAGAATGATAAAACTAATAGTTTAGCAAAGAAGAGAACAATGAGTAAAAAAATAGTATAGACTAAAAAAATTAGTTGTAAAAAGATAGAATATTGCCTAGAATAGGAAAACAGATGAATTGACATACCAGCAAGACTGCTTTGCAAGTTAGTAATAAATGCAAGACTAGAAGCAAAGTAAAAAAAAATAAGAGTAGTTAAAGATTTAAAACCAGAAACAAAAATCACAATTTATGATTAGACTTATTTTTAAAAAAAATTAAAGATGATTAAGGGAATATATTGCATAATAAAAAGAAACAGTAACAGAAGAAGTGCATTTATCAAGTATATAATAAATAAACTTTTAACCTTAGAAGAACTCAATAGAAGAAGGTTAGATATATATACAATAGTAAAGTGCCAAGTATACTAAGATAAAGTAAAAGAGATGCAAGCATATTTGGCAACATGTAAGGAACAAAGAAATTTCTGAAAGAGAATTTAAAAAGTGATCATTGCAACAGCATAAAAGAAATTAAAAGAAAAAGAAAAAATTCAGATTCCTTATATGTACTATATATAGTACTTTTTGGAAAAACAGAACAAAAAAAAGTTAAAATAAGAGAACCACTAATAAAAGACCTAATTTTAAAAGAAACACAAGACAAATTAGCAGAGTTATTAAATACAAGATCAAGATAGCAGTTTGCAAATATAGTAGCAATAACAGCCTGAAACATATTTTATAAACAAGTATGAAGAATATGTTGTAAAAAAATTATTAAATAGAAAAAAAAAATTGAAATAATAGGTAAAAGTAAAAGGAAAAAAGATAAAAAACTAAAGAAATCAGAAAAACAGAAAAAGGCAGATTAAGAAAAATTAAAAAGAAAAAAAAAAAAAAATAAAAAAAAAAGGAAACAAGTTGAGAAGAAAGTAATAAAGACAATTTTTGGGCTTGTCATAAAAGAAAGAAGACCCTTTCATTATAGATTTTAAGTAATCAGACAAGTAACTTACTTCTGCTTAAAGTAATATAGCAGGTTGCATTTAGGTACTATTAAGATGACTGGATAATGCTAGACTTAGATATTAAAGATATTTATATAGTTACAAATGTAATTTCAAAAACTCAATAAAGTACTAGCATGACTGCTTATAAGAAAAAAAAAATTTTGTTTTTGTTATAAAGTATATAAAGTATATAACTATTGTTTATTCCAATTTGATTTTTTATATGCTAAGATAGTTTTTATTAATTTTAAAATATAAAAAAAAAACCCCAGTTTCAAATTCTATTCTAGAATATAATTACTCAATAAATATATTAGCATATCAGTCACATGATTTGTCACACAAATCACAGGTATAAAATTTTCTATTATAGTCAGATGATTGATGCATATAAAATTTCATATGAAAATTTGCATCAAATATGCTTCCTAACTTTTATTTAGTGAAAAAAAGCTGTAAAAACTAGTTCAAAGTAGATGGGGATTTGTTCTTTAGCATTGGAAGCACCTTCTTTTAAAATTTGAATGGTAGTTAAAAATAAAACTAAAAATAATCAAGGTCCCGAAGTTCACCAATTTTTTTGCTGCTGTACTATGTAGCACAACAATGACGCATCTCATTTGATCAAAACAATAACATATGTTAGTCAGGGTCACATTATTAGACTTAAGTCTAACTAACTGATTCTGACTAACATACGTCATTGTTTTGGTCAAATGAGATGCGTCATTGTTGTGCTACATAGTGCAGCAGCAAAAAAATTGGTGAACTTCGGGACCTTGATTATTTTCAGTTTTATTTTTAACTACCATTCAAATTTTCAAATTTTATAAGAAGGTGCTTCCAATGCTAAAGAACAAATCCCCACCTACTTTGAACTAGTTATTACAGCTCCTTTTCACTAAATAAAAGTCAGGAAGCATATTTGACGCAAATTTTTATATGAAATTTTAGATGCGTCGATCATCTGACTATAATAGAGTACGTATATACTACTGTACTAATAATTTTGATGTATCAAAAACGATACTTCAAACAATGGGCAGTGGCGCAGTAAATGGCCACCGTATACTTAGCCCTGAGTCCAATACATTAAGGTTATCCCTCAGTATCATTCATTTCATATAATTGTCTACGTATGCTTTCTCTGCATTTTAGTTGACAAAACTCAGATATACCAAATACGAAACATATATGCAAGCATAACGAACATAATGATAAGATATATGTATATTAGAGTTTCCGGGAACTGTGATGCACAAATCTACTTTAAAAATATTTCTCGTATTTTAATTGATTTAAAAAATGACTAGTCATGTTTTATCTTACGAAGACAATAGGCAAAAATATGTTTAGAATGGGCAGATTTATGCACCACAGTCCCCTGGACACTCCAATGTATATGTATATGTTAACATCATAATACGTATACATTATACTACACCGTAAGACCGCGAAATAACGACCGTGGGCGTTATTTCGAGGCTCGGCCCGAATTAAGCTAAAATTCGTAATTTTACCCCTGCGTGGTTCATTATTTTGATGCTTTGATGATGATTTTGTGTAACATAAACCATTTGGCCAATCAAATTTGTATCCTTCTTTGATATCCATTTTTGTATTCACCTGATCAAGCTCTGTTAAACTAAAACTTATTGCAATTGATATTCCAAATATTTCACCTTTTTTTTTTTGTTTTTAATTCTATTTTTTTAAAAAATGAGTTTTTACTAGATTCATGAATATTTTGGTTTAAAACAAAATGGTTGATGACACTCCATATGGGCTGATGGAGGTAAATTAACAAATTTTTTTTTTTATATAAAAATTAATTTAGAATAAGGTTAGGGTCATTAATAAAATTTTGCAAGAATGAATTTAACCATAGGTTCGAATTGATTATCTAATAATATCATTGAATTTTGCAATATACGTAGCTCTTTAAAATTATGATTGATTATAAAATTTAATATATGGGAACCCTCACAGCAAAAGGTGGCAATGTGTCAAAGAATTTTTTTTCTTAAAAATACAATTTCTTGAAGAATTAGAGTAATAGGCATATAATTTTTATAAAATTACAGAATCAAAATTTTTGCACTTGCTACCTTTTGCTATGGTCATCCCCATATATAAAAATTGATTTTCCTTATTTTTAACACCAAAAAAAAAAATTTGATTTTTCGAAAATATTTTTTTCCTTTTATGCAGTGGTAACACAGGTTCCGAAAGATAAATCATGATAATCGATTTTAAAAGCCCGCATTTCACACAATGAATTTTTGGAAATTTGATCATTTTCATAATTTCAACTAATTTCAACTAATTTCAACTAATTTCAACTAATTTCAACTAATTTCAACTAGTAAACAGATTAAGAGCTGTATATTGTTGTTAGTCGATCACTATAGTCACTATTGATTGGTCAACCTTCACGTGTTCTCATTATAAATGCAGCCAATTAGCCAATCAGATGAATGCCATCCTATGGATTAAATAATGGCAAAATTTATCAATTTTCAAATATATGATGATCCAATTCACTCCTTTAAATGCCGACGCTGTTCCTTCGCAGGCCCAGATACTGGTGGATCCTCTCGAGGCACCGGTAATTGGCTCAATTTTTTTCACAAAAATCACTTAGCGTATTATATTGTTTTTGTTAATTAATTTTATTCATGTAATTAGTTCCGGGAATGCGAAAAAGAATATAATTTAGCACTTCGTCGCGATCATGACAGTGCAAAAGAGACTTATAAACGACTTCTTAAACACGAATTAATGAAGAATCCACTGTATCAGGTAATGCTTCCAATTTTTATGTGTTAATAACCCATATGCTAGAAATTATACTTATTTTATTTGTTTAATAATAGGCAGATAACAATGGTATTCCATTAGCACAGCGAATAACTAGATTAAAATATTGTATTTTAAGAAATTATGGTGAGATATGGGAGAAAGAGCACGAGATGCAAAAGACCAGAATGGATGCTCAAAATGCGATTGAATATTATAATAGAGTATGAAATTATGTGAATACGTTTGATGTTCAAAACTTTTAGAATTTCAAAATCTTTAATTCGCGATCAATATCAATTTCAGGCGCTACAAATAGATCCAAGCGATCATAACATCAGATTAAAGATTGGCAAGCTTACTATGTCTGAAGAAATTAATGATCGTGAAGCTGCTCTAAGTGCTTTTAAAAAGATTCTTGAAGATATTGACATAATACCATCATTTGCAAACTCTGAAACATCATGCTCTATGTTCAAAGTTTTCACACCTAGTCATAAAGACGCTTTAGAAGAGTATTGTCGCGTAAGTTTGTCAATTTTTAAATAAATCAGACGTATGTATGAGTTAATAATCTAATTCTGTTATCGATAGCTTTTATACGATTTTGGTGAATTTCAAAATTGTCTGAACGCAATAGATAAAGGTTTGGTCTTCGATCCATATAATCAGGTGTTAAATCAATTGAGAAGCCAACTCTTGAAAGACACTTGGGTTAGGTTTTTATTACCAAGGTTGGTTTGAGTGTAATTTGAATCACATATGGATTTACATAGCGTTCGATGACCGAGTTAATATAATTTAAATCAATAGGAATTATTACGAAATTTCCCCTCCCTTAAGATATTCAGCTCTATTAGAAACTGTACCAAGGCGAATTAAACCATCAGGTAAGATCATACATATTTTTATTAAACCTTTTTTTTTAAAAAGCTAAAAAGTATTATTTATAATGAATCCTTTTAATAGGCCAATTCATTTCTACTACTGTTGCATCTCATAACGTTCATTTACAGCATGCTACATGGACAGGATTGGGAGAGTTATTGTTAGATACCTATGACGGAATGACGAGCGGGTAACATTTGATCTTTATTATTGATCTTTTTTTTTCATATTAGAGAATTCCAGACATTTAATCATCAATACTTTGTTAATATCAATACTTTTTTAATAGTCGGATTAAATTGGAAAGTGATACTCATATTTCTGTAACTAGTAGACGTATTATAATTGATTGGGAAATCACAAAACCATCAACAACAATTGATATAAATGGTACTGCTCAGAAACGGAAGAGGAAGGATGTGCAACTCGATAGCATTAGTGATAAATCAATAAACTTAAGGTTCATGCTTACCCCGCGATTTTTCATCGTATTAAAATATTAAATTATTATTCTACAGTATTGATGTCGTTTTGTTTTTTGATTACTAGAGTTAATCGAAAAGTCTCAAAGATAACAGACGAGATTAATACTTTTAATGTTCAACGCAGTAAATCTGCTTCGGCGTTCACAGAGAAAATAGAATCAATTATTACAAAATTAGATCCGGATTTCTGGCCTAATGATCAATCATCAAATATTGATGATCAAATAGACAAGTTTTTAAAATATTTCACAAAGTCATGGACCTTTCACATTTCTCGTGAAGACCATGGAGATATGATAGAACAAGCAATTAATACGTCAAGGTTCATTTTGGTGCTTATTTACTTTTTCACGTCTTTATTTATTTGAGTCATATTACTCACTTGTGCTCATCATAATTATTAAAAAGGCCGAAAGCAACCTCAGATCCACGTTTTTACCGGTTTACACCCAATACAAATCCTTATATTCCTTCTTCATATTTTATCGATTCTCCGGAAGCACATTCAATGTTAATTGCATTTATTGAAAAGATGAATGATATAAATTCAGGAATATTGGATTGTTTATGTATGTACGTTATGCATTTGTTCGGACATTTTGTACGTTCCGATGATGGAACACCTAAAGCCTTATGGCTTTACCGTTGGCCCGATAGTTTGAAAGAAGTTATGAGAACGATTCTTTCTAGAATTGATCGTCGCTTGTTAGAAATGATTGAAAATTCTTGTACCAGTTGGGATGAAAAAGGCGACTTAGTTGAGATAATGATGAATAATAGCGAGGATAACATTTTTACACAGATGAAGCAAAAGTCTGAAGTATGACACTTTTTCTCTAAATTTGTTTTTTTATTGATTAACTATATCTTATTAGATGGTTTGAAAATGTTCGTTAGATCATTATGGGTATCTGTGAATTCTTGTCAGATTCACAAATAACTAGTACTCGGACTAATTCACATACTGGTCAACAAAACTCTAGCGATATTCAAGAAATTCCTATGGTAAATTGTCAATGGAGTAAATAAATTTGAATTATAAATTTTATAAATTTGAATTATAATTTTTATAAATTTCAAACTTAAAATTTTCTTTTTATTTTCTTAATAGACATTGCAGTCTACATTAGATATATGTAAAAAGAGTCTTGTGTATTCATATTGGAATATGCAGGACTTTGTGAACAATGCAGGCCTTCGTGCGCTAGAGTCTGGGGTTGGTGACGAATGGAATCGGCATTACAACATGTGGAAAAATTGGTCATCTCAATTGAATGCACGGTGAATTTAATATTTAAATTTTCATTTTCAAGGTGCCTTAATTCGATAATTTCTGTTAATAATTTTCTATATAGGTTATGGTGGTGTATCGCTCGGATGGAATTATGGAAAGGAGAATTAGATGAGTCTATTGCGTCTTTCGAACAGTGTAAACAATATTACACTTTTGGTGAACATAAAGAAGACATCGTTATAGTAAACTGGTGAGAAACATTTTTCTTCTTAGTGTTTGCAATTGCTGAAATTTGATATTCTACAATTATAATAAATGCCTTTTCTTTATTAATGTTTTATAAAGTGGCTTTGATTCAAATATAAATATCTCGACTATAAATTATAAAATATGTATATTAGAATCTAGCAGAGATGAGTCACAAAGTGAATGGACACGCACTGTTTCGCATTTCACTGACTCTATAAAATTTTTGCAAAATGCCGTGTCGGATGTTATCAGTCAAGATAGGGTCATCCATTTTTGGGCTACTATTCATTCGGTTAGTTTATAAATTGGTATTACCAAATAATATAAAGAAATCTTATAAAGATTTCTCTGTTGTCATTCAATTATTACTAATTTTCTTCTGAACTCCAGACAAACGAATCGCTCACCGAAGTGATTAGATGTCTCTCAATTAACAATAAATTCGGTATGTTTTTATCGAAAAGATAAAGTTCACATTTATTAAGTACATGAAGCATATTGTTAAATTTTATATGTAATTACAGCTGACTTGTCGCCGAATGATCAAAAAACCTTCAAACGATGCCTTCACATATTGTACTCAACGGCTCTTGAAATTCTTTTTCCTCGCAGCAAGGAGTTGGAAAGAGCGACTGCAGAAATCAGTGAACCATTAAACGTATTATGTGTTAGAACCTGGGTTTTGTTTTGTTATTTGTTACTACAGGACATGCCAAATTCGTTAGCAGATGACTTTGCTGAATACCTTGAGGCAGTGCATGACCAGCTCGGAGTACGTCATATATGTGGAATTGATAATGGTTTGTTTGATAGATGCTTTATTCTAATTTATATATTTTCGTTGTCATAATTATGTAATTTTCCCCTATACTTGTTGTAGGCATATTTCTGAAATTCGTCCTCAAAACGCTTACTGAATTACACCCATCGGAGTATAGGCAACATGAATATCAATGCTGTCATTGTCTATATAGAGTTTCTTTAAGTGTAAGCATTTTATATCTTTTCATAAATATGTTAAAATTTATCTACTCACGAATATTAACAGGTTGACACGACTCCACCGAAAAATCATAACACACCCACTGTTGACCTTGACCATGAAACTGCCGAGCTATTATTCCGAGAGATACGAAATTATCTAAATCAAAAATCAGACAAGATGTACAAAGCATGGGCGATCAAAAATGATGTCAAAGACACATTAGACAAAATAGCGAACATGTTTCCTCCTCCACGCGATGATCGTACGGACTTTACATGTGATAAAAATTGTTTACTATTGATTTTTCGCTACATAATGCTAATGACATTTTATTATTTGTTTAAAAGGTTTTTCTAAATGTAGCTGGAAAACTCGACATTTCCTTGAAGACGACATAAATTTTTACGAGGCAGTTCAATACAAAGAACATAATCATGATGTCAAAGAACTTGGTTCTGTCTCCAGTCGAGATTCTGAGAGGGGTAACTCACAATAAAAAAATTTTTTAAAAAAAAATTAATTATTGAATATCTTTATTATTAACATAATTTTTGTACTTTATAAATAGCACTCTCAGACTTGTATTATTTTAGAGGCAAGATTCTGTTAAATCAGTTTAAGACACGATCAAAGGCTAATGTAAACAAGGCAGTTGATATGTTAGAAAAGGCGATTGAACAATTTACAGTAATTATTGTCATATAATTTTTTTAAAGTGAATTAATATTTGATAATTAGTTTTTAATAATTAACCCTGTTATATAGTTTGATCTTCGAAATAATCCATTACGATTTGCTTCATGGTATGCATTGGGTACTTGCTATGCAAATTTGGCTGATGAAAACCTTACATGGAGTGCTGCAGAGATTAACTATAATCGGGCTGAAATTGCCAAATGTCAAAAGGTTTTATTAGTTTGAGTTTATCTATTAACCCATCAATCTATGTTACCATAATTAATATTGTTTATTGATGTAGAAATCGTTTCAATGTTTTGCGAGAGCCTCCAAAGTAGTACATTGGTTTTCAAACCAACAATTAACTTCACCAATCGAAGAAATCCAGTTTTGGCGAGATTATGGCTATCAGGTGTATGCAATGATGTCGGAACCAATGTCAATGGAAGCATTTTCACTAAGTCCTTCTCATGCAGAAACTTGGCGCAAGCCCGATGATACACAAGCATGTCAATTTGCTGCTTATTGCTTTGGCAAGGCACTGGAACTTGAATCCCAATTATTGAAACAAAGTGATATTACGAATATTACTCCAGAATATACACCGAATGATACACCCAACGGGACCGAGCACAACACACCATATGGAACACCTGCTGAAACTCCAACTAATTCTTCAGTTTCATCTGCAAATGGTTCTGCAACTGTAACACCTATTGTCAGGGATTGGAGGTGTTTATGATTCATATTTTTCATTTGTAGTTACTGATCTGTGCTCTAAATAGCTTTTCTATATTATGTAGAATACCTTACATGGTCGGTAAATGTTACCAACGACTTCGGAAGAATCCCGAGGTATAATAATCTTAGAACTTGCTACCATTTGTTTAATCAATTGTTAACAACTATTCTTTTGATTGAAGGTGGTAATACAACTATACAAACTAGCAGTATCACGAACACCAGAGAGGTCAGGTATTGCTGGTCAGGAGAAAATTTTGGATGCTGAATACAAGTTGACATCTTCACTGGCAAAATATTTAATAACTAATAAGATTAAAGTATGCAAAAATATTATTCTTTATTCGACTTATGTAAATTCCTAATTCTTTGCGATATATATTTATATATTTATAATAAAGCCATCGTTTGTTGAACAATCTATTGGCCTTACTGATGATGATATGGCACCGATAGATTATACAAACGAGGGCTCTGTTTTTAATATACAAAAACCAGAGTATCAGAGAGCATATCATCTTATATGTACTAAATTGGAAAATATAAGAAAAGCAGATAAAAACAAGTGGCACCATCGTCCAGTATTCAGGGTGGGTGTTATTAATATTTGGTTAACCACTATTTTTATTTCCTCATTAATTGACCCTTAACCTCAAGTACATCATTTAAGCATGCATGGTTAATTAATCATGTTGAACAAAAACCAGAAGAGGCAAAAGCATTACTACAGAATCTCTTCCAGTTAAAAGCATCATCTAATAAATCTGTAATGAATGTATGGAAGCCAGAATTTGAAAGGTAATATAATAATAAACTTGACATTTATTCAGTATTCTAAATAAAAATTTTGACGTTTCTTGGTATTCAATAGAGCAGGCAGGCATTTTGTTTATGTACATGAGTATATATTATTTCTTATTGAATTAGCAAGATCGACTAGAGATGTTGCCACGCTGAAAACAATGGATACTAAACTATCAAAGGCAGTAAATATACTACTTAAAGAGAGTATAATTCGAGCATGTATGGCGAATGCTTTTCAATACATAGAACAAACGCGTAGTTTAACAGTAATGGACAATAACGATCAAGACGATGTAGAAAATTTAGAACGGTATGAGCCACTTCTGATTATTGAACATACTGAACAATCAAATGTTATGTCAGTAGCTGCTCTCATAACGCAAGATGATGACGATTCCCCAATGCAATCGGGGATTTTACAAAAAACGGACAGTGAAATGTCGATCGATTAATGGTAGGGGGTATGTAGGTCATTTATCATATGATTTTGGCAATACATTATAATTCGTATGGAAAATAAACCACATTACTAATAAAACTTTTTATAATATATAGATTAGAATGCTTTTTATACAATAGCAAAGTTTTATTAAATAAAATATTTAAAAAATATTTTTTTTTGTATATTGTAAAGTTTTTTTTAGTTGGATCAATATTTTTTTTAGTAATACAAAATCATATTTTGAAACAAATTTTGATGTCTAAAACTTAAATATTCATACTTTAATGAATATTTAATCAATTTTAATAATTTTAATATTAAAATTATAAAATTTTGGTTTAATAGTTTAATAATAATTTACTTAATAAAATTTAAAAAAATATATACAAAATTTTGAAGAAATAAACCAAAAAGGCGTGGAAATTTACAATTTTGATTGGCTAATGGCAACGATCAAAAAATTTAGGGTTAAATTTGATCAAAATTTTATAAGAAACCGTGGCCGCCCATGGAGTTAAAAAATCAAAAAAATCAAATGATATATGATGTAGGCTAAGATTTTGTCAAAAAATTCTGCTATCGCGTGAATCGTAGATCATACGGGCTGTGTTCTGACGAAAAAACCAAATTGAAAAAATTTCAAGCTTAACTTAGCATAGAAACGTTTTTTATTTAAAAAACAAATTGTTATTTTAATAATTTTTGGTACATTTTGCATTCTGGTGCATCTTTCCAATATTTCAAAATTTTATTAGATAACTCCTGTCATATAAATAAGCAAAAATGTATAATAGTACTTATGTTGCTATAAGGTGCATCAAAGTGTAGAGTACATTAGATATAATTTTTCTTTATAAAATTTATAATATAAAATTCAATTGTTTGCAAACTTTTTTTTTATTAATTTGGTCTCTTTTCTTAAAACATATCTAAACATATACGTATAAATAATAAAATGTTTAATTAGTTAAAAAATAAAGAAATAGTTCTTGTAATTTATTAAGTTTTACAAAACATTTACAATAATATTAAAACTTTGTTTTTAAAAATTTATTATTATTTTTGGTATATCTTGTATATTAATACACCTTTCTGCTATTTTTTAAATTTTATTAAGATAGCCTTTGTTATACGGTTAATAAAAATATTTTTTATAAAATTTATTTTACAGTCTTAATTTTAAATTTTAGTATTTATCTATTATTAAATACATTAAAAAATATTTTGTATTAATTATAATTTTTTGTAAAAAAAATAAAGTTATGACTTATATTTTTCTTAATGTTTTTTTTTTTTTTTTTTTTTTTTTTTTTTAATGTTAAGGCGAGTAATTGCGACCCAGGAGTTTATTGATAATCAGTCGGCATATAA